CCTGTTGCATTTGTGGCATCAGGTGTTGGATATTAGAGGCGTTAAGTGATTGGAGCGCTTGAATGGGCAAATGGATGGTCTGGAGAATGGTTTGTCCATTTTGTGTAGAGATTGCCTGAACGGGAATCGTCTGTTGGACCGGCAATTGTATGGTCTGAACCACATTTCCCTGCCGTACGGCCACCGTCTGTCCACCGGTGGCGTACTGTTGACCAGCGCCAGCAATGGTAACGTTACCGATACCGGGGATAAACACTGTTTGTTGCTGTTGTTGTTGGGACTGTTGAGCGGTCTGTTGGCGGACAACCGTCTGATTGGGTGATGCCATCAACTGATTGCCCGACAATTGGATGGCCTGTTGGCCGCCGGGAATGAAGATGGCCTCCTGTCCATCGATCTGGAGCTGTTGCGGCTGAAGAATACTATAGATGCCGGCGTTTCCGGCGGCCGTTCCCGTCGAGTAGATCTGAGTGGCGTTGGATAAGGCATTGGTGTTCGCCACCGATGTTATACTCTTGATGGGCGTCCCGACCGCCGCCGCACTGCTGACCACAACCTGTGGATTGAGTTGAGTGACAGTTCCGTCAGGATTTAGTACTCCAAGAGTTTGTCCCGAATGTACGGGAAATAAGTGCGCAAAGTCTGAAGCGTGAAGAACTTGGTTCTGACCGCCGCTCACGAGCTTTACGGTAGTAGTTGTGGTGGCGTTGGGTTGACCGCCAGTGCCCTCAGCCGCCAGTTCACAGGGAGAACCTATTTTACTACAGGTCGCCGCTAACAGAGCTAAAGGCGACGGCTGTTGCGCCGACTGACCACCCGATCCCGACTGCTGTTGGGTTTGGTTTACAGTTTGCGAAGAGTCCTATCGATAGAGAGGGTAAGCAAAGGGAGGGATTAGACATACAGTGAGTCATTCCCTACCCGACAACCCTCCCGGCGTGCACACCTGTGTGGCAGCCCAGTCTGTGTTGTGGTTGTGACGGAGTTCTCCACCTCTCTCACTTTCACTCTATTGTACCGAAGTGTTGACGGCATGTGTCCCTATCACTACACATACCAGCGCTCTATCGCTCATAGAGACAGAGCTAACGGTGCTATCGATCACTGCATTACAGCATTACTACAGCACTGATAGCACTGTTGGCTCACAATTATGTCACTCATAGGGAGGATTGGCTACCAGTGCTCTCATCCTTACCATCGCATTCCCAACACATGGCATATCACAAACACTTCCACTTATCGTTCATCTCATCACTCATTCATCACTTCTTAACCCTTCCTCTCAGTCACACACACAGTCACCCAAACGGACCAACTCTTGCACCTCATTCTCTGGCCAGGGATTTAGCGACAAAAAAACGCCAAACAATGCTTTACCTGATTATCGGTGACCACAAACTCGTCGATGGATTGGTTTCCATTAGTTGTGGCACTCATTCCTCACCAGAAGTCACGACACAATCACACGATTCAAACGCAACACAAACTCAGGCCTCAAAACAGTGACAAAACGTTTGTCGCAATCAATGGATTCACTCTTTCAACGCTTTTCGCGATTAAAACCAATTTTGAATACAAAACAAAACAAAAACAAAAGTTAATAACAATTAAAACTTCAAATCCATATCAATAAGTGTTGTAATCATAATGTGTTTGTGAGGTATGTTTAGTCTATGTCTCCACCCGTCGACTGTTGGCCCACAAAGAGGTTGACTGTAGGGCTGAACGCACTCTACGCCCCATCACTACACTCTCTGCACTCCCATTCACTCCTACGACAGCATATAGTGCCACACATTCGCACACTTCCAGCCAGAGCCCGAACCCACACACAATCCCCACTCAATTCAACCGCAATTGTCTGTTAATTGTCATCAAATGTATGCCTTAATTAGTGCCCAAATGAGCCGCTCTTAACCATTTCATCAATGAATGCGAGCGAATGTAAGTATGCATTGAAATGGCATTTATAGCGCAATAATACACACTTTGGTTGGCTTTCAAAGACATGTCTCTCTCATCCAAACAAAGACCACATTTTTATTTGACTCGTATTTCAATCCGAGTTTCACTCAAACTATTTCTCCAATACTTTTCAATTCAATATTTGATTGCATTATAAATGTTAATACAATTTACAAATGAAATTGTTTTCAATAAAAAAAAAGTATTCATAAAAAGTATTCATAAAAAGTATTCATAAAAAGTATTCATTTAAATATGATTTGAGAGTTTGATATAGAAATGAAGGACAGGTTTAGTGCAGAAAGCATTGGATGAATGGTAGGAGAAGTGAGTGTTTAGTCAATGGATTGGTTGAGTCTGTGTTGAGGTCTGGGAAGGGAAGGGAAGACGTGGCGGTCAGTGCTGTAGAGAGTGTACAGCTCTGGGAGTCTATGGGTTTGGTTGTGTCGGCGCGTGAATAGTGGGCACAAGTGTTGCCGCCATTTGGGCTCAACCTCTGAGATGTGGAGGCGTTTCGCCACTTATTATCATATATTGCATACAATTGTCGGGACTGTTGTCTGTGTGGCCACACATGCCCTCACTCTCAGACACACCCTTTCCCTCTCACACCACACCATATGAGACACAACACAATCAATGCATACATTAATTGTCATTCAAATCAATCATTGCTTACCTTATGATCGGTTGACATAATTATGAACACATGGTTTAAATGTAATACAAATGCAGTGTTTGTATGGCTTTTGTATGAATCGGTGGTCAAACCAAATGTCACAATACGAGTGATGCAAACAAGTCTTGTGTTCCCATTATATAAGTGCTTCAGTCATACAAACATTGCCTAACATTTGCCATACAATCACAATATCACTAGAAATGCATTCAAAACATTCAAACATTCATTTGTTTCTCATTTAATCGATAGCTTTCACTCTTAGCTCTAAATCTGGTTTAAAAAGCACTCAAATTGACATTTAATTTCTTTCAATATTTTACACAATAATTATTTAATACAATATGTTTAGAGTTGTGCCAAAAGTGATGCAATGTATGCCTATATAAGAGTGCTTTCAAATGCAATCGTTTGAATCAAATTAGACAACGAATGCATTAATTGATGTGAAATAGAGTTTACGTTCAAATATTTAATAGTTTTATTAGAATTTATAGTGAATAACACAAACACTAGATGTCAGGCCATGTCTTGTATGGATTTTGTTCAAAATACAAAACTGCTAACAGTTGTGGACAGAGTGTGGCATCTATTGAGTGACAAACTCTATAGACTTAGTTTGCACTCAACAGATGTCACACAACACCCAGAAATTCTGTATAATTCAATTGTTTAGCAAATGATTTGTTCAAAATGTGTTCAATCTTTATGATTATGATATGAATGAATCTCAAATTGAATCCAAATTACAAGTTATATAACTTTATAATTAGTTTCTATCAAATTTGTATTATTAATTTGGATGCAATACTTTTTAAGCGGCAATTTATAAGTTTTCACATTATATGAACCATACGTACGAATACAAGTCGTCAGCGATTCTGGAACTGAATTTCAGAGCAATCGGTCGATAAATTGTAATCATTTATTGGTTTAACCTTTTTATTCAAAAACAGTTCAATGGATGCGATAATGCATACAAATAATTCAAATTAAATTA